TTGATATTTCAATCCTGCAAATTATTTAGGATTTAGGACTTATGTTTGCACAACGTCGGACTGTGCAAATAGCCTAAAAGACAGGAGGATTTACACCGTACCATACGGTAACCTCGGAATCCTAAAACGTTAGGACTTATAATTACACAACAGAGTTGTGCAAAAGGCCTAAAAAAGTGATCCTACGGGTTATTTAAACTAAAGAAAATGTGTAGGTGATGTGAAAATGTTTCGTTGCTGCAGATCCACCTGAAAATTACTTCTCGTTGCGCTGCCCACGATGTTTGCTCCAAGTCTCTTCGTAGTAGCACCTCCTGGCTTAGTTTTAGTTTTGAACATGCTCCTAACCACTAGGTTATCCTAAACTAAGGCATAATATATCAAAGTAGCTAGGCATGCAGTGTGAAAGAAAAGTAAAAGGGCACTGTTTAGTACATAGAAGGAATAACATAACATGCTAAGGAAGCAGTATGACAGGCTATACATGAAAGACAATAACAGGTAGAAATAAGACAAGTATAACATGCTTTTAAAAGATAAAATGTTGTAACATAAATTAAACCTGTGCACCTGAGAGATTCATTGCTCCTTTAAATTTAGCTATTATCTGCTGTGTAAAGAGGGAGGTAAGACCTGAAAGAGGCTTAATAGAAACAAGTAAATTGCAGAGAAAAGACAAATAAATAAAATGAACCACACCACATATAAAGAACCAAGAATGAGAAATTTATATGTGGTATTGGAATGTCCCCAATTGCCAGGAGGATTTGAGTGTAGGACAAACTCAAATCCCGGAGCATTGGGTTTCAGTTTTGGTCAAATTAAGGTAAGAATTTCATTATTTGATTTAATTAAATCAGTCATGAGTCACAATCTAGTGCAACCTCGTGCCTAGTGTCCTACTTATCTCCTAAACTGAGGTTAAATGTCTAGCTTCTTAGGATCATTTGAAAATTAGGAGGATGAACTCTCTCAAGGTGTGCCCTTAAGGTCTAGGAAACCTACACTTTAGTTTGGGCCTGAAGTGTCTTAAAGTGTCTGATTTCAATTAAGTGTCTTTCCACTAACCCTCAAACATCTTTAGATTAAGCTTAGCTCACCATCAAACTCCTAAAACCTAGGGGGTAAACCTATAGTTTTGGTAAAAGGGTTGTGGGGTGTGCTTCAAACCTAGTTAGAACAATTGGGTCTAAGTTTATTCAAAGCTTAAGGGGTCTAAGTGCAGGTCTACTAATATTTCCAATCCACGTCCTTAATTGTTATCTAAACTCTCACTTTCTTCCAACCCCCAAATATTCTTCCAATTTACAGTTTTATCTTTCATATGCAAAAAAGGAACGGTAGATGATTTGCTATTTTATCCCCCCTTTAGGTTTTATCACCTCGAAGATCCGAATTTTATTTTTTTCAATTTTCTCTCAATTTCTCTTT